GAGTAAGCCGTTTTTGATGAAATCTCGTTTCCAAAGCACTAAGCGTTATCTTCAAGCTTTTAATCCATGTACCTAGGCTGTAGCAAGCCGAAGACACTCGGCTCCAACAAACTTCAACAGCCATCATAACTTTTTGTTGCTACTGCTTTGCCGGATTTTTTTCCGCTCGTCTGACACTTCCACCTCCCCCCCTTTGAGACAGATATTTCTCGGCACACCGAAATTGACTAACAGGACCTATGACCTATTCCTGAAAAATATCAGTTTTCGGTCAGCTCAATCTATGCGCTAGGCAACGCATTCCTCGGAAGCCATTTTTAACATGCCAGTCTATGGGAGATGTCTCTTGTTGCAATGCTAAGTCAACGATTGACTGCACAAGATTTTTGTACTGGCCCGTCACAAATATTTTTTTGATCTTTGGTCACTCAACAGTTTGCAGAAAAGCTTACGCAAAAATATCGATCGGTGAATTTATTGGAGGGGAATATGTAATCATCCAACAAAGAATTACTACGTGTCCCCGTAAATCTATGCTTGGCTCCCTACTGGCAAATCAATAGACTCAGAATTTAGTATTTCTGGATTTGCGATAAATAGTTACATGGAAGAAGTTCAAATATAAAAACAGAACAACAAATAGAAGTATTCGCAAATTGTTTTACAAAACTTGTTGAACAAAACCAACTTGGCCCGGCAGGGCTGTATATTCAAGACTAAAGGCGGCCCCATAGTCAACCTTTTTCTGAGACGGAGAGAAAGTTTTCCGAGGGCCCGGCGTCGACGGAGTTTCCGTGGTCACGGAATTCCGACGACGCGGTCACTCCAACTGATCGTCCAGTCGTGGTGTTCGAAATGTGTTCTCCTCATAGTTATCCGTATTCCGGCAAAAATAGTGACGCCCTTTTGACAGGAATGGTCAGCATAAAACCGCGCCATTCCGTTGTCTGGGCGCTTATATGTACATGTAAATCATGTACAGATACTGTCTGTACAATGCATATTGTCACATAATGAAACGATCAACACTGCAACACTGCGCTTCACAAATTTACTTTTTAACTTCGAGCATTTAGTAGTTTTATCGGTACCGCATTATAAAATGCATCCGATAAAAAAGCGCCCGTGTTTTATGAGTAAGCGCAAGAGGTCAGCTCTTGTGGCGTTGTGTTTACTTTTGGGGTTATTACGACAAAATAATTCCAGCAAGTTATTTGTTGAGCGGTCGTGCTACATGCGATATACCAGCCGTAATCGTAAAAAAACGAGAGAATTTTATACACTTGTGAGTGAAATGCGCCAATACGATCCACAGCGGCATTTCAAATATTTTCGGATGCCCAGTGCTACTTTTGATCGATTGTTGGCCATGATAACGCCGAAACTGTTGCACGGGAATAATCATGCGGTCGGGATACCTCCAGCCGAAAGACTATCTATGACGCTACACATGTTGGCCACCGGATGTAGCCAGATTAACATCGCTACCAGGTATCGCATGGGCGAAAGCACAGTAAATGCCATTTTCAAAGAAACCGTCAAAGCCATTTGGGAAACTCTTAAAGACAAGTACGTGCCAGCACCAACAAAGCAAACCTGGAAACGCAACGCCGACGACTTTGAAAGAATGTGGCAATTTCCCAACTGCGTCGGTGCTATCGATGGTAAACATGTAATTGTGAAAGCCCCAGCTAATTCCGGCAGTAATTTTTATAGTTATAAAAAGTCTTTCTCGATCATTTTGATGGCAATTTCGGATGCAAATTATCGGTTTACTGCTATTACTGCTGGAGGTTATGGTCGACAAAGTGATGGCGGTACATTTGCTGATTGGGAGGTCGGTCAAGCAATCATTAACAGAACCATGGACTTGCCAGATGAGCGCAAACTTCCCGGTTCACAAGCTGAATTTCCGTATGTATTTGTTGCCGATGATGCTTTTCCTCTTGGACACAACCTTATCAAACCTTACGGCGGAAACAATATCGAGTCGGACGAACGAATTTTCAACTATCGCCTGAGCAGAGCTAGGCGCGTAGTTGAAAATGCTTTCGGCATTATGGCAGCACGTTGGCGAATTTTTCGCACGGTAATGGAATATTCGCCGGAAATGGTTGACAGTATTGTTCTAGCTTGTGTTGCGCTGCATAATTTTCTCCGGACGGAAGTCATGGGGCAGAGTGAAAACGACGCCTACTTGCCGCCGGGATATGCGGATTCGGAAAATGCGGACGGGACAATCACTCCCGGGGACTGGCGCAAAAGTGTAGAACTTCGTCCAATTGACCGGAAGCCGTACCGACATGTGAGAAGCGATGTGCGCACCGTGTTCAAACAGTACTTTAACACCGCTGGCAAAGTACCATGGCAGGACCGTATGGCATTTGGTAAATAGGCATTCATTTTATTTTTCATTCTGTTCATTCATTTAACTGGTGTCGGTGTTGCACTTTTATTAACAATTTGTTTTCAAATACATAAAAATAGTTACAAAAATCTGTTGTTGAAAATGTGTTTTTGTTGATTTGAACATACTGTATACGTTGTTGGTACATTGTGCATTGTCAATTTTTCAAATGTATTACTGTATGGCGCTCTACAGCGCCCTAATGACATGTTTTATTGTTTTAGTCGTTGTGTAAATAATAAATATCAACTTACTTCACATTAAAATTTTTGTATGAGACGAGCGTGCGCGGTTTTTAATTGCCAGCGTAGTACCTATGTCTGAATTTCGGCTGCTCGATTATTGCCGGCGTTATCGCTGCCGCATTGGTATAATTTCCATGGACAAAGGAAACAAAATTTATCGCCATGTTATTACCATACTCTGCGGTGACCTTTGTAGAGCGTGTTGTGAGTTCTGCTCACAAAAGCCAGGGAAAGTTTGCGCTAATTACACGAGCTCGGTTTGCCGCCGCAGCCTACCATGATATCAAGGCGAGCAGTTGCCGCCGCAGACTGCCGTGAAATCAAGACAAGAATAAAAGGTTCTCTCTTGTAGCTAAATTCCACAAAGACTGGTCAGGCTGATGGTACTGTTATCATTTCCTGGGATTTGTATAAAAGCACTTACGTAACAATTAATCGGTACATATAAACACGTGTGTCCACAAGATGTACATATGTATTATATACCTAATATTTATCTGGACGTCCAGGTGGGCAGTGGTCACTTGACTCAAAGTGTATATGATTGGGTAAAAGAAAACGGAGACTGTTTTAGGGAGGAGCCATCCTCTCCTACACCGAACAAGTCGAAATCACGATTTTCGACGACTCAGTTTCAACACGATCATGTTCCCTCATAGTCATCCGTAAAAATGGGACGGAGAGTCGGGGAATGGTGTCCTCATAGTTATTCGAAATTTCGATACCATTTAGTCGAAACTGCCGTTTTCGGTGAACTATGAGGCGGCCTTAATGCTTTCGTTGATTTCTGTCCGTTACGGAAGATCGTTGCGATATATATCATAGGAGCCGTATTCGTAGCCCCTCTGTTGTTGACCCACGTTTTGTACCTAATCTAATGCATATACTTTTATGAGATGATTAATTACGCTAGGTAGGAGTCTCATACTCATAATTTTCCTCTTACTGATAAAATTTTGTGGGATAAGGTGGTTGGGATCGGGATCGCGGCAGTTCTTTTAGCGATGCTGCATTGGTTGGTGACAATTTTCATGATTATTTCCAAGTTGAAATTGAGATTGAACTCCTAGAAAACGAAAAAAGCATCCTCTCCAATGGTAAAAACTGTGACATCTTTCATGGAAAATGTGATCCGCGAATTAAAGTTTTGTTGACATGTGAGCTGGATTCAAATTGCACATCTAACTGGAAACTAAACTGGTGATACGTATCGCAGTAAAACATCACGCAGTCTTATGACCTTTTTAAAAATATCGTTTTAGTTTAAAGTTTTAGAGTTCTTAAAATCATTTTTTCGCTTTTTTGAAGAGATCAGCCTTTGTCTCCTTGGCCGGGATCGAGCGAAGTAAAGGAATATCAATGGCCAAGATATACGAAACATCTAATACTAATTCTTCGACCATTGTAAATTCTCTGTCACGCGTGATATATGCGGAGGTTCGATTAATAACGTCCACGCTAGTTATAACGTTTTTCTTTTTTTTTATTTAGAAAAGCTAACCCGCGTTAAATAAATCTGCCGATGAAACCTGTTTCTTTATGCAGAGTGTATATTCTGGATATAGGCTCCTGGAGCCAAATGACCAGATCAATAATTTCGACTGCATCTTTGACGCAATTCCTCGCGATGTGGGGAGAGATGCGAGGAGTGCCCAATGAAGTCAGTCCTTTGATTGTACACCAAAATTCCAGTCTGGTAAAATGAGGTATGCAATACAAACAATTATGCACTTTATAGTTTATACTATCGAGAGTGTGACTATATGAATACCAAACATCTCGTGCAGGTCTTCGGCCTTTTCTCGTTGTAACGCATGATCTCAATAACCAATAATCCAATTTTCCGGTTTAAAAATTTTCTACACTCCTCTCAGGGCGGCGGGTGTTTCGAGACTAATGACCTTTTGCTGTTTTAATAAACATAAGGCCAGTGGTCACTCAAACGCTTGTTAGCATGGATGCCATAAGCCTAACATGGGCTTGCCTGTTACCACGGGGCACATTATACTGTCCCGTACTGTAACAAGAAACAGCTTGTCAGAGTGCGAGCTTTCTTTTAATGTGGAGTACAGTGAAGTGACGTGAGTTATGGAACTGCAAGTATGGAGGTAAACAACAAACACCAATCACCGGCGCCAAAGGAGAGAGGCCAAAATCCTGACATAGATGATTAGTATTCACATAACCAGATTTTTATGTTACATAATTGTTTATTCCATTAACAACACCTATCAGTACTCGTAGTTAATTACCTAAGTAACACCCGCTTTTTGCTAAATAATCCAGATCAGCGACGGTGTCTTAGTCCCGGTATGCGATCAGTGAGTCTCCACATTCCCGATCAACATGATTTCATCTGATTGGATGCGCAAATTGTACAGCTGATTAATCCTCAAGGCATCAGTGACAAAAAGGTCAAGTGTGACACCGGGAATGCCTGCGTTCCCAAGATCTCGGTTAACCTCGATACGTACGCTTTGGATTTTTTTTCATGTAAATCACTTTTGTGTATTGAAGCCTAAAGCATAACCTACGCAGTTTACTCGTATTGTAGTCATATTGTTTATTACTTAATACTTGTACGTAATTCTGTAGTGTTATTACAATAGTTATCAAACTGCAAAGTCATATAAATTAAGTATACATAATATACTGTGTATCTTTCTAATGAGATTTGCAAGTCACTTTTTAGCAGTCTTTAGCTGACCTTGTGACTGCACTGCAGCGACATTTCTTTAGGCAGATGGCCCAGACCTTAACAGTCAAACAAACAGAAAATATTAGGAAAATTTCCTTCGAGGTATTCCGGCTGAATGAAGTAAAGCTTTGCGCAATTCCTATGTTGTCTATTATTTTGTTAAACGAAGAACAAGCATGGCAAACAGAACTTTACTTGTTAGTTCAGTATAAAGATGAACACTAATACATTAAGCTACGGCAGATGGATGAAACAGTATCTGTCTCGTCCAACAGTCACAGTTCAGTGTATAATCGTACAATAAATACCCGAACTGGTCCCAAAGGAATACTTACTAACAGCTACTGACTCGTGAGTAGTAAGTACGTACCGCATGTAACCTGAAGCTTCCGGTGGGAAATGCGTTTGCTATATGCGGGAAATTGCAAATACTGCAAAACACAGAAAAGCCATAAATGATTAGTGTATTTTAATGTTTACGTTCTTGCTTAAAAATAAGCTAAACTAAATATCGGTTCAAAAGTTCCAACAATTTAAACACCGCACTCTGCATTTAAAAAAGTGATTTGAAATTTCCCTAATTGCACAGTTCGCTCTCATCTTGTAAAAGAATACTTTTGCAAAGCGTACGCAGCATATTAATTACTACCAAAATGGTGTTTTCCAATGCGCGAATGGCAGTGATATTAGTCAGCTTGTTAATAACCATACTTTTCCGTCGGTCTGCACACAGATGCAGACTTAACAATATGAAAAGAAGACTATGTAACCAAAATGTTACACGCCTTTGATTCGCCCATTTTAGAGGAGTGGTTTAGTATTTTCCGGAGGGCAAAACCCTGCAGCGTGCAGTGAGGTATGCATACATAAAGGTAGTGTGCACATTATACATACAAAGACTGTAAGTATATACGGCTTGTTTTTGAACGGTTAATACCTTATAAGAGGATAGTTTCGCATTGCTGGCAGTGTAACTGACCAGCCACAGTTGTTGGTTTAGTTACTTAAGTATGCCGCTGACCGCTGGTTGTGCTCCAGACTCTATCGACCTGAACGCTAGCTTTGAGTGCTATCGACTCATTCAGTTTTGCTGAATCTCCTAAACATGGACTTTGTAAGGATATTAGCAATTGCATTTAAAACAGAAGCCCAAAGATGCAGTATCAGAAATTATACTTGCACAATTATACATGCGCAAAGAAAAAGAATCAGAAATTCTAAAAATTCAGCAAATTTTCTAATTTAGAATATGTCTTTAAATTTAAAACCGGTCAAGGCGAAATTCTAATTGCCGGTTCCCGAGTACCAGAGAAACTTAAGGCGGCGGCTATGGAGTAAAACGTGCAAAATCGATTTTCCATTCTTATCACTTACTCAAAGTGAACTTATAACGTTTCATAAGCGTGTTTTCGCATGTATGTAAAATTTCTTGACAGCGATAAAAGTTGTCATTAGAAAGCAGCTTGTTCTAATAAATTTTTGATGTTGGTTTGGTCTAAACAATAACTGATCGAGAAGCAAGAGTTGGAGTTATCCTGCAAGCCCGAAGGAAACAATCAGCCGTCAGAAACTGCATTAAACCGTCGCCTGTCTGCGACTGGATGAGTTACAGTGCGCCTGTTAACGGGTTTTTGTTCAATCCACACCTAAGGGGTTAATTTCAGGGAGGAAATGGGTGCTAGAATGACACCTTCTCATTCCAGCAGCACGCTGTTGGAAAGAAAATCTTCAAAAATTCGCAACTCTGTTATTTTCCGTGCTAATTTTTTTATGCGCTTAAAAAATATAAAATAATGCATACTATTAGGCAGAATAACTGATTTTTTGGTTTCGTCTCAAGGTTTGGCACTGAGAGCATAGGTGCTTAGCACAGCCGCTTATGAGAAATCTTGGATGAGTCTTCCATAGACAGGTATGTTAATAGCAAAAGCTCACAGTGAATAACCCGAAAATAGAAACGAAAAATCAGGTGTTCGGCCTAATGGTAGGCATTATTTTTTAAGCTTATACAAAAGAATTTAACACGAAAATTAACAAGGTTAAAAATTTTTGAAGATTTTCATTCCAGCAGCGTGCTGCATGGGCCACCGCACGCGAACTTCAGCTACGTTGTTACTAGGCAGCTGGCAGAACTTCGCCAGCGGTATGGCAAACAAGATCGACAATAAATTCAAGAAATAAGAATGGACTGCTCTGTAAATAGTATGCTCTCGCCGTACATTGTATAGTACTTAACCACCATCCAAAATTGTTGCAATCAGGTGCGTGTCACAATTTGGTTACAGACTCCCGTACACCGTTCAGAAACAAGCCGTACATAGACTATAGAAAGTCTCATGTATTCCCGATATATACCACAACCGACGGAACTATTTCCGCGAGGAAATGCTACGAAGTGTTTTTGCGTTTGACCTCGGAGATCTCGTGTCGCTTGCAGCTGTGGATGGAATCCAGCATGCCAGCAGCCAGCCCATTTGTGAAAGTCATGGCATTCATACAGTCCCAGGCTACACTGGGCCGACTTTTTTTCATGTCAGCCCTTATCGTTACGAATTTTGATTTCTTCGACAATTTTTTGGCTGAATGTTTTGCCAACGAAAATGTTAGCGAATAGCGATATATCCAAGTGCATAGTGAGCACCGGCAAAAAGTTGTTACCCTTACAGTTGTTATGCTGTTGCCGTTTTGCATGCAAAATTGGCATTAAGTAATTATATGAATACTGACTATGTGTGCCAGGATTTTCGTTCTCCGGGGCTAACTTCTGTTCCACATAACTACGTTGTAATTTTCATAGAATCAAGGCATTCAAGGGCACTAGATCTTCTTAATGCATCAGTGGCTGTAGGCTGGTCAAAATTTGCGATTATCCAGGTCCAGTGGTCACTGAAATTTGGTTACCATAGATGCCATAGACTTTACATTGGCTGATTGTAACAAATACCCATTGACTTGCAGTGTGGTAGAGTAACGTCAACGTTTGCACGTCACTGCATATTATTACTGTTACATGCATGAATACTCTTTAAAATATGATTAGACTTCATAATAATTATTATACTCGTATATTGCTGTACATGTACGTACTTTCGATGAGTTCTTGTAAGTACTGTTAAAAATGCTGCAGCGTAAGCTCTAGAAAGCTGTTAACTAGAGATTCTACTGATTTCCACCACCTCCGACGGCAAAGCGGGTTGTTCCAGCTACGGCTTTCTCTCCCACCGGCGGCATGAAAGCCAACATGACTGCTACACCACCTCGGACGGCAGGGCAGGCTATAACTAAGGCCGCACCCAGCTCCGACGGCAAGGCAAGCCAACAGCGACGGCTACACCTACCGCGGACGGCAAAGCAGGTTTTCAACCACGGCCACATCCTCCTCCGACGACCACACATTACCTGCAACTACGCCCGGATTGTGTCCAACAGGTAAGTAAGCCTCCAGCCACAACTGCACCTACACCTAGCGACAATGCGTGCCACTAACTGCAACCGCCTACTTCGGACGGCAAGGCAAGCCAGCAGTGACGGCCACAGTTACCTCCGACGGCAAGCAGACCCCCAGCGGCGGTGGCACCTTCCTCGGACGGCGTACAAGGCCACCACCTCCGGTGCGCCTACCTCCGGCTCCGAAGGCAAGCAGACCCCCAGCGGCGGTTGCACCTTCCTCGGACGGCATACAAGGCCACCACTTCCGGTGCGCCTACCTCCGACGGCAAGCAAACCGCCAGCGGCAGTTGCACTTTCCTCGGACGACATACAAGGCCATCACCTCCGGTGCTTCCCGTGCTTATCTCCGACGGCAAGCAGACCCCAGCAGCGGTTGCACCTTCCTCGGACAGCATACAAAGCCACCACCTCCGGTGCGCTTACTTCCGACGGCAAGCAGGTCACTAGCGGTGGTTGCACTTTGCTTGGAAAAACCTGACTGGTTGCTGACATACCACGGATCCTGCCATACCACGCCGGGATCATCACACCGCACCGCTCCTTATCGGCAACATAACGACGTCAGCCCTGGCGACGTAAAGATAGCCGGATTTTGCCTTCTCCCAATTGAACTCCGAATCTTCAGCAAATACATCCGCAGAACCGTGCAACTGCTCATCAATTCTTATTGGGTTGTTTGTGGTTTTGTTTGGGGCCTTCGGTTGCGCAGGGCACTGGTCGCTCTCTTCCGCCGACCCCCGGTCGGCTGAAAGCTTCTCGCTTGACCCACGGTCACCGCACACAGCCGATCACAGAGAGCACCAGCCTCCAGCAGCCGGGGCTCCAGTGCCCCCAGTGGAGTCCGGAAGCGGTAACATTAAATGACAATTAACGAGTTAATTGATGTTAATGTTAGCTGGAGGACATGCGCTCCCGCTCTGTCTCCTTTCGCCGTGTGTTGCGAGTTACGTGAGTCTGTTGGTGGCGCTGCGCGTCGCCGTGGCGCTTAGATCAAAGCGGCCGCCGTCATGCACGGGCATGCTGTTTGCACTTGGTACTGTTCGTGTGCTCGCATTGCATGGTTCTGCAGTTCTCACTGCTGTCTGTCTTTGCTCCTTCGATATCGTGTGCGCGCGAGTGATCTCTGTTCTTTTACCACCCGCCACACCCTGCTGTTTTCTTGTGCTGTTATTTCGCACCTGCTCAATAAAGGGGCCTTCGGTTGCGCAGGGCACTGGTCGCTCTCTTCCGCCGACCCCCGGTCGGCCGGCTTCTCGCTGACCCACGGTCACCGCACACAGCCGATCACAGAGAGCACCAGCCTCCCAGCAGCCGGGGCTCCAGTGCCCCCAGTGGAGTCCGGAAGCGGTAACATTAAGTTATTTTAAAGTGTAAAAGTTGCTGTTTGATAGTCGTTATTTTGGGGAAGTAATAACAATTCAAGCACGAAGCTGTGTGTAACTCAAATGACTAAAGTATTGTGGAGCGTTTTTTTAGAAAACTCACCCTATCCCAAAAAAACCAACTTTTCGACACCGGAAGTTACTTTGATTTATTTTAACTGAGATGAGCAAACATTTATCCCAAAAATGCTTCACAATTCTTTTTGAAAATGATTTTTCTGTAGTCTGATCAAAGTTTGAAAATTTCTGAAATCCTTGCGAACTGTTATTTATTTTAGAAGTTGTTTTTCAAAAATTGTTCAGGATTGGACGAGGAACCTTCTTTTGTACTGCGCTTTCCTTTGGTCTTACCGATTCTGCGCTTGCAGTGCCGCCACACTGATTGTGTGCACTCCGAAGAGTGGACTTTGGCCACTCTTCACGTGCGCTCACGGGGCAGCTCTGTCTTTCCATTGTCTAGCTCCTTTGTCATGCTCTATGCGTCCTGACTGTGTAAACATGAGCCTTGTCTGCTCCTATCACACCTGCAAGCTGGCGTGGTGCATAACAACCACAAGGCATCTGCCAGAACGAAAGAAAGGCCTATCGAAGCAATCTTT